GAGCACTTAGTTTTGAACTGAAGTCAGAAATGGTTTCATCCTCCTCCATTTTTAGATTCTCAAAGCGAGAAGCATGCATGTCCTTTCTGGAGTTTTGAACCTTTGTTGTTCCTTCGTACTGCATCTGAAGTATGTCCCATGCTTCTTTGGCAGTCTCAACACCTTAAATCAGCTCAAATGTCTTTCTTGATATGTTGGTGTGAATGGTAGTCAGCGCCCTTGAATTGTACTTCGCTCTTTTTGACTCCTGTTCAGTCTAACTTTCTTCTGTTTTTGGATGAAAGACTCCGTTGGCATCAGCTACCAGTGGTTCTTCCCATTTATCAGTTACTGCCTTCCATGCCAGTGGATCGATCCCTTTGATCATGGATCTGATCATAGCTTTCCAAAACCCGTAGTTCCCATCATCCAGGATGATCCTGGAGTTGTTCACCATTTCCTTATAGCTCTCTATTTTCTCCGCAGGATCTCACCTGTTTGTAATACACACAGATGACTGCTCTGATACCAAATGAAAATGTAAGAGTAGTAATACGGGAACTAAAACAGAACACAACACAGGGATTTTCTCTTCAAGAATATTTCACTAGTAAATCTGTTTGTAACTTACAAGTATACAGAACCCGATTAAGAGCAACCTCAAGACACACCTTGATTTGCTACACTAGCCTCACCTGTTCTTGAATCGATACGTGATTCAAGAACCTCTCACCCAAACCCCTTAGCACACTAGCTCAGAAAAACTCTCACAGATTTTCGCTCACCCTTTGCTAAGAATTCTCTCAGTTTTGTTAAAAACCCTACACAGTTTTCACACACCTATTTATACACAATAGGACTTGCGGCTGTTCCTCGCCCAGACTCTCCTTCCGATTTCTCCAAATCTTCATGAGAATGTTCACCTTCCTTATCTTCTCCTAAGATGAAGGAAACTTGATATTTTCTTCAAATATCCTCCAGGATACTCCAAGCTTCCTATCCACGTCACCTTCTCATCTCTTGAAGTGTCCAGCACGTCCTGCAGCTCCAGCTCAGCTTCCAGCTCACCTCCACGTGTGTAGATTGCTTTGCAAGTCTTCCCGTGTCAGCTCCTAGACTAGTCGGACTGCTACACGTGCTGCTTCTGCCTTGTTTGCATCTTCAATCTACATGTCTGAACATAATTTTTTCATACAAGTCTACCGAAACATGAGTCTACCACCACAAAATCTTCTAAAATCCAATAAATCAGCACAATCCACATATATGTCTACGTGATGAGTCTACATTCACGTAATTTAATCAAAAAATTATATATATATATATATCTATATAAAAAGTATCCACGTAGGAAAAAGAAAGAAGACATGAACGGGAAAACTCAAAAAGCATAAGTAGGAAGATTAGTTGAGGGGTAAACCGAAAAAACAATAATCATCAAAACCCTAATTTCTACTTAAAGAGATCCCCAACGAGCCGCTTTCTTCTTCTTGGGAGACCAGATCATAAAGATTGAAACAATGAAGATGTCGGATCTTCCGTCGGATTTGGAAGATTCCAGCCTCATCTCTTAAACGATTACAAACTACATGCAAACGATGGAACTCTTTATTTAAAGAAGTAAGAGCAAGTCCAGTGGGGGTTTTTCCATGGGTTCATAACTCATCTTGGAATAAAAAAAAATTTTTAATGAGCTATTTATGAAGAATCGGTTCATCCCAAAGAGTCTGATAAACCTCAATTGATGAACCTCATTTGTTGACGTGACAATTTTTTAGTGGTTGAAGCTTCTTTTTTCTTTTTCCACCTCTTCTCTTTCTTAAAAAAAATCATTTTTTCTTTTGTTTTGCCACATCTCTCCTCTCTCTTGTTCAGAATTTTATTAATTTAATATTTGGGATGAACTTTATAAAAAATTCACCAATGGACATGGTCTAAGACCATCATTATCCCTAAAACTCCATTAAAGGTTCTTTTGTTTTTTTAACATCTATTTTTATTAATATGAAAATCAAGTTACATAACAATAACAATACATAAAAATAAACATACAAAGCAATAAGACAACAAAGATGAGTTTGAAGAATTTTTCCTTCAGAGTTTTTTGCGCTGTAAGAGTGTCCACACTATCCTTCCTTGTAATCGCATTTGATCTGATGCGATTTTCTTTGGCTATGATCCATCTTTTCTCATGTTGTATGTCATTGACACATTCCAAAATAAGAACTAAAGATATTCTTCGAATAAGAATCCAATTTATTGATTCATTCGATATAAATTTTTTTTGGAATTGCTAATTTTCATTCCATTAAAGGTTCTTATGTATTTTTTATTATTAGAATTAACATTAAGAAACTCATTATTTATAATGGTGCATTGGTAAAACTTTGATTGGGTTTTTAAGGGAAAAAAATATTAAACACTGATGGAGAGAGAAGAAACATCAATGCAGAGAGAAAAAGCAGTCCATATTTTTTAATCCAATCTGCAGCAGACACTTGTCCAAGAAGAATCAATTCTTCAGGCCCCAAATAAGAATCGATTTTTCTAATTTTGAGCCATAAAACATTATTTTTAAACCAAAAAAGCTTAAGAAATCCAAATTAGATTTCCCGATAATGATGCTCTAAGGTTCTCCTCGTAAAGCTCCAAAGCAAGTCTCGTGTTCTCATGTTGAAGGAATATAAGATTTGTTCAATGAATATCGATCTCAATGTTGTTCCTCCGACTATAAAGTTCAAACGCGCACTTGACCTAAAGGATTCCAATACTAATTCAGAACAAGTTGATTTACTTGGACTTTTTTCACTGCGACGGTTTGTTGTTATGCACCACCAGAAACAATAAACCATTGGTTTGTAATCCGTGGTTAGGGAAAACCAGGTGGATCAAACTCGAAACTGGTGACAAGAAGACATACTCTACGTTTGCTCTAGGATACGCAAACAAAAAAACTTGCCGTAGTTACAAAATCTTGAGCCAATGGATATGTTACGAAATAAACGACCGAGTTTTTGGGTTTCATATCTATGACTTTACCTCTGACTCATGGAGAGTTTTTAATGCTCCAAACGTTAGAAGCTTCATAACAAGATGCTGTGGTGTGTCTTTGAAGGGGAATACTTACTGGCTTGTGAGAGATGACATAGATCACTCCATCTTCTTACTCAGTTTTGATTTTACAAGAGAGAGATTTAGACGTCTGTCTATTCCGCCACCTCTGAGTCGTGATCGCGGTTGTTCGAAGCTATCAGTTGTTAGGGAATAAGAGCTCTCAGTGTTAACTAAGCACATAAATTATCCCGAGGTGGAGATTTGGGTGACCAAGAAAATTGATATTCAAGCAGAGTTTTCATGGAGCAAATCCTTCGCAGTGGACTTACACCATACTCCCGGCGGTTGTGTTTTTGTTTACACGACTCTTTTAATCGACGAGGAGAAGAGAGTGGCATTGTGTTGTAATGTTAGTGGTGGCAACAAAGTATACGGTTTTGGAAAAGATGGTGAGTATTACACAGATACCCCTGTTCTAGAATATAAAAACAAACCATTTTCATTTTATTGTTGCCCATTTATTTTTGATTATGTTCCAAGGTTGGTTCCAATCCAATAAGTTAGAGGCAAAGGAAAAGAGTGAAAACTAGTCAATAAGAATAAACAAGAGATTTCCTGCTGCTCTTTTTTGTTTTTTTCTTCGTTTTTGTTTTGTAAAAAGGTCGTTTAAATAATTTAATGATTTGATATTTATGAACCTTTTCTTCTTTGTGCTGTATAGTTTTGATTTTGTTTTAACTCAAAAAAAAAAAATTGATCCGATGATGATATGAACCTGAGAACTGCTTTGATTATAAAGAGAACTATTTTTTTTGTTAGCTCAAAGTTGCACAGGTAAAGAGATATAATATAGCTCTTTGTTAAAAAAAGGTTGATAGGGTTGTTGGTAAGTTTATTAAAAGGGAAGCTGTAGGTTTCTGAAATTAAGTGCGAGCTAAAAGAGAATAAAGGAAACAAACCCAGAGAATGCAAGAACTGTTTCAAGGGCTTATTCACTTCAACAAGACAAGATTGATATTAGCAAAAACAATAGCCCACAAAAAAAAAAGAAAAAAAGGGAAGAATGACTTGTAACATTGAGAAAGATCACGAGAGACATGCAAAACTAAAACTAAAAAAAAATATATATTTGAAAACCTAAAGATCTAAATAGGTAACCATTACAATAATTAGTGAACTAAAGAAAAGATAATTGAGATTGATGAAATTGGAATGATAGAAAAATAATTTCATTCCTTTCATTCCACTTGAATATAGTAGAAGAACAATTTCTCTTAAATTTGTTAACAGTTCACTTTTTTCCACCTTATTTTGTTTTTCCACTGTGTTTTCACTTCAAATGATGAAACTTTAGAACAATACATAATTCTAATTTTCTTTTACTCCTTTAATAATTGTACAACAATATGCAATACATGAGTATTATTCATCATATGACATGTAATTAATTAAAATCTTCTCTAGGATGATGTCTTCCAACTCAAATCAGTTTCATAAGTATGAATGCTGATCAATAAATTACTCGAACGGTTTGTGAAAAGTAACATTTTGTTGTCCAAAAATAAAAAGAATACTTTGGTATTTTACTTTTCCACTCTGAACAAGAGGTTAAAGAATTGTTATAAAAAGTTCAAAATGAGGAAATAAATCTTTTACTATTGGTGGTAACTTTATAATAGTTTTTATTTTCTGTTTTTAACCATATTAGCATCCATACGCATTCTTCAAACAGAGAAAATGAAGCCGAGTCATGGACGATATCACAAATACTAATGCTACGACCTTAACACTACTTTAGGATATAGTAATCAGAGTAATGATGCTTTCCTCTACATAAAAATAAATCTGAATGACAAGCATTCTCGATACCGGAGAGATCTATTCTAAGGTATGATCTACTCTTAGGAGCCGCAAAACAGTTTCTTTGGACTGAGATATATGGACAAATCACAAAACCAGAAACCTTTCTATGCTTCAGTCTCCGCGAGAGCTGCTACCAGAAGCCTTCTTCCCTCCATATTTCTGTTTTGAGAACACGAAAACTCAGTAATGTTTCTGAATGAGATTTGGATTAGTTTCATGAGCATGAGCATGCGCAACTTACTGTTTTCAGACTGAAGGAATGTATTTGTACTGATCATGTGTGAGATTTGGCGCCTCATCGTCAGTGCAAACAGAGCGATCCAATAGCAGAGAAGTATTGGCCAAAAGACAGGGATGTCGAAGAAAGAAAAGAATGTCATCACAAACGCTATGAAGAAAGCCTTAGTCATGGAGTACCTGGCAAATCATAAAAAAGGATATACAGTGAGATACCACATATGGAACATGAAGAATATAAACCGATATCCTCACAAGATTTAACATAGATTCTGAATGAAGTCACTTTGAGACTCGTCTCCATATAGTAAAAACAGATTCAACATCAATTTCCTTAAGCTAATAGGCACTGCTTATGCAAACATACTCTACAAGCCTCATCATTCTTTATCTTCAATTGGAAAATCCATCGAAGCAAATAGTGAAAAAGAACAGAATATAACCGACATTTCTCACAGAGACTCGTCTCCATATACCATAAACAGATCCAACATCAATTTCCCTAAGCTAAAGGCACTGTTTTACTATGGTCTTATGCAAACATACTCTATCTGCCTCACATATGGTTTCATCGTTCTTAAATGTTAAACTGGAAAATCCATTACAACGAGAGAAATAGGACAGACCATAGTGACACAATAGCATATTTAACAAGCTTCACAAGTCATTAAAGCACATCAGATATTAGCACAGAGAGTGTATTGTCAAAATTACCAGAACTTAAACTCTGGAAGTCGACGGATGAATGGCTTGAACTCATCTGAACCTTTTGTAGGTAACATCGGACCATCAGAAGTATCATCAAGCTCGGGATCGACCAGTGGTGACAAAAACCCAATCAGCAGGTTCAGAACGTAAATCCCCAGCGCGTAAGTAATGATATAGAACCCTTGAACGTAGTAAACCCTCAAAAAGTATATCCCTGCCATCACAAGCGTCCCGATCCACCTATTAACTGCGTGAGGCGTGGTTTTGTCTAAGTAATACTGATACAGCCTCCACGCCTCATTCGCACGTCGTTGTACAGGTGATGCCATTGAATCAGTGTCGCCTCTAACTCCATCCATTTTAACACGCGATATCAAGAATCTGCAAACTCAGCAAGATAATCCTATTAACTGGATGATTCTAGAATATCTATACAACCAATCAAAGGACATTTAGGTCAATGTGTAGCACATGAATGAGATCAACGTAACATTAGACTCAGATACTTTCACTGTTTCACAACACTCAAATTGAGCGCAATGCAAGATATATCAAATCCAGGGACCAAAATCCAGAACAGACTCAAAATTTTCAGTAACTAAGCCGAAATTTGAGAATCGATACTAGGAAATAGAAGATAAACTAAAACTAAGGTCAACATTCCGCAGATTCAGATCTCGAAATCAGAATTTCCTAGAAAACTATCCAAGATTCTTGAGCACAAACGAAGCTAAAAGCACGAATTTCACATCCGAAACAAGCGGAAACACAATCTCCACCCAGCATGTAGGAAAGATAATCAATGAAATTAAGAGGAAGCGTGAAGACGACTTCAAGCAACAAAATCAGATGTTGAAAACGAAGAAACGAAACGTGAGGATGATTAGGATGGAGAAGAAGAGAAACTGACCTGCGAAGACTTAGGGTTTCATAGAGCAAAGGAGACTGCGATAATTCCTGGAAATGGAGTAAGCACGGAAGCGAGGAGATCTTACTGAAGAAGAATCGACGAAGGAAGAGGATGTAAGGAACGAGTGATATAAATATATAATGTGGCGTCACTATATTCTTATGAATTTTCGACATTCACCCCAAATACTTTTTTTTTTTTACTTTAACAATTAGTAAGCCTTAAATAGATGATTATCTAAAATGAATTAAGGTAGACCTTTCTTTTTGTCTAAAATAATATTGTTCTTAAATGGATGATTATCTAAAATAATTAAATTAATTTCAAAAATTAAATATTAAATTAATCATCTATCTAAGTCTAAACAAATAAATTAAAATGTGTAGAGCTTAGCTTTAGTTGTTGATTAATACTTGTTAGAATTAAATAATCAAATCATTTTATTTTTGTTTTCTGAGTGTTTATTTATTAATTAAGGACTAAAATATCATTTTTAAAAATATAAGAAATATTTCAAATTCTTAAAAATAGTTCAGATTTCATATATGAAAACATTAGTTTTGGATAATAGTACATTTTTGGAAATTGAGTAGTTAAATTCAATATATGAATCTCAATAATTTGGATAAAGATCGACTTTACGATATATATATTTTAGTAATAATCAATTTCAAGACGAATATACAAATAATTTAGAAAATTTTAGAAAATTTTAATGAATCTTAAAAAGGATTTGAAAAATTTGGAAAAAAAAATTGAACAATTTTCATTAATTTGGTTAAATATCTAAATGGGTAATTCGAATACTCTGTCTAATACCCATTCCCTTACACGTTGAACAAAATTAAACATAATATTCCTAGTTCCTAAGTATATAAATGTTTAAAAGAGATTAAATATAAGACAGAACAATCAAGACGTATATGTTATATGACGAATTTTACATCCCAAAGTAGACATTGCTAATCCAAATTAAGTGTTAAGGTGGTAAGCTATATTTTGCAGAAAAGGCAAAAAAAAAAAGGTACTATAATCCTATAATTTTTTTTTTGGGTCAAATTATTGCTCTCAATGTCAGTAATTAATCGTGAGAGCTAGTGTCATAACTTGAGTTAGAGTAAGAGAAATAACATAATTGAAAGGGAGAGACAAAAAGGTGATTCAAGTTCTAACATAAGGCTTATGGTCTAGTAGATTTATAGTGTCAAAGTCTCTTTCTCATTGTCTTTTTTTTTTTTTTTCTTTGAATAGTATGTTAAATTATTCAAAAAAAAAAAGTTTTTACAACTAGTGCAGCTTTTTAGAGAGAATATGTGAATAAGCTATAAATACAAACTAAACCAGAAAACAAAATAAATGGTTATCGTGTTGAAAACCATATCACCATCCCTTCGTCGTAACGAGTATCTCCCATGGCTCTGATAGAAGATAATTTGTTTCTGATCTGCTTGTCGATGAATTGAGTCATTTGCCCCTCTGTTGTTGGCGGTTCACCATGCCTTCTGTTATTTCTCTCCCTCCATATCCAATACAGAGATGTCTGGAAGGTGTAACGAAATAACCATTGCCGAGTTTTCTCCCGCGGGTGCTCCTGCAGCTGGTTTAGAATCTCGTTCCAGCTGTTGGTGTAATCAGGTGCAAGAAGCTTCCTTACTAGGTTACTCCACACCCTCTCGGTAAAACTGCATTCGAAGAAGAGATGATTGTGGGTTTCTAGTGATGCTCTGCAGAAGACACAGGATGTATCGGCTCCAGTGTTCCATCGAGCGATCCGATCCCCTGTTGTAAGGCGGTTATGCATCGCTAACGAAGCTATGAATGTGAACTTTGGTGTTGCGCGGGAGAACCAGATCCCCTTTGCCCACTCACATATTGGCTGTGCTGTTCTGATTAAGCTCAATGTGTCCTTAGAGCTGAACTTTGGTTTGAATTTGTCATTTCGACGCTTCCACAAGACCACGTCAGCTTCAGCGATTCTCACTTTCTGCTTTGTCGAGTAGATTATCTCTTCTATGTCGTTAAGAATATCCACGCGGTATCGACGGCGACGGTGAGTATTCAAAACCACAGCAACAGTGTAGTGATTTGGGATCCCTAAATCGATGCATCCCCTCTGACCTGTGAGATCAATCAGTCTGCCTAATGGGCACCAAACATCGTACCAGAACGACGTGTGTTCTCCATTGCGAATGTCAATACGAACAAAATCTCGAGCTATTTCCCGGAATTTAAGGAGTTTCTTCCACATCCAAGAACCCAGAGAGGTGGATTCCTTGACATTCCAAAACGAGCCTTTTCGGATAAGGTGTCGTCTTACCCAATCAACCCAGAGCGATGACTGCGAAGCAAATAGACGCCAAATTAGTTAAAGACAGCACACTTTGTTTGCCTCCGTGACTGATCTTAGACCTAAACACCTTCATTATGAGGCTTGCAGACATCTTTCCAAGCAAGCTTAGCCTTCTTGGGGTTCAAATCGGGACCCGACCAGAGGAAGGCAGAGCACATCTTGTCAATCTCCGAGATACAAGCTTTTGGAAGTCGATATGCAGATATCCAGAAGTTTGTTAGGCTATGTATAACCGAACCAATAAGCTGAAGGCGACCTGCAAAGGTCAAATACCGAGCTGTCCAAGTGCTGATTCGGTGGCGGATTTTCTCCAACAAAGGGCTATAATCGTGAGCTTTCATCTACTTGGTGAGGAGAGGAAGACCCAAGTACCTCACTGGTAAGGAATCGGATTCAAAAGGGAACTGATCCAGAATAGAGTCCAGCATTGACCCTGATACTCCCGCTACATACAAAGTAGATTTCTCCAGGCTTATGTTTAGACCCGAGAGGGAGGCAAAATCCTGAAAAACGCCTAAAACACCTTCAATAGAACTCTTTTTCCCATCAGAGAACACTAACATATCATCAGCAAAACACAAATGCGTGAGCTTAAGGTTTTGGCACGAAGGGTGGTATCCGAATTTTCTATCTGCAGCCGCCTTGTCCAAAAGCTTGGATAACACATTCATACAGATCACAAAGAGGTAAGGTGAGAGGGAGCAACCTTGACGAAGACCCCTCTTGCTCTGGAAATAACCTGAGAGCTCGCCGTTTACTTGAACAGAGAAAGAAGCAGACGTAACACACAGAGTAATCCAATGGATGAAAACCTGTGGGAAGTTCAGAGCCTTGAGTGTAGCAAGCAGGAAAGGCCAATGTACCGTATCGAAAGCCTTGGAGATATCAATTTTGACTGCACAACGGGCTGATATTGTTTCCTTATGGTAGTTTTTAACCAGCTCAGAAGCTAAAAGAACATTTTCCATGAGCAAACGACCTTTGACAAACGCCGATTGGTTTTTTGTAATGAATAGAGGAAGAACTTTCTTGAGTCTGTTTGCAAGGATCTTTGAAACCACCTTATAAAGAACATTACAGCATGAGATCGGTCTGTAATCTTTCATCACCTTTGCCTCTTTCTTTTTAGGGATTAGTGCTAAAATAGTGGAGTTGACACCTTTTGGCAAGAATTCTTTATCGAAGAAGGACTGAACTGCAATGACAAAATCTGATCCAATAATCGGCCAAGCTTCCCTGAAGAATTCACTAGTGTATCCGTCAGGACCTGGAGATTTATTTCCTGGCATCCCAAATAGAACCAATCTGATTTCTTCTTCTGTTACACGTCTGCTTAGTATCTCCACCTCCGTCTCGTTGCATTGAAAACCAAGCAGGTCACGTAACTCAGCTTCCGGCATTGCAGTACTGTTAGGCGTTTCCGATGATAAAAAGGTGCTGAAAAATTCCTCTGCTTCCACCTTTATTTCGTTTTGAGTCACTCCAGGGTTCCATCACTTCTTTGAATCTCCCTGATAGAGTTTCGGACCTCTCTATTCCTTGCAGCTTGATGAAAAAATCTGTTGTTTCCATCTCCAACCTTTAACCAATGGATTTTTGACTTCTGTCGAAGGAATTTCTCCTCCAGCTCCGATAGCCTCTGCCACTTTTCAAATGCTTTGGATTCCTCTTTCATCGCTACTGATGTATGGTGCTGCAGAGTTCGTGTTTGGGCTTCACAGAGCTTGTCAAACGCGCTTTTTGTTCGCTGGGAAAGATCACTTAGTTGATTCTTACTGAATTCTTTGAGCTTTGGCTTTAGAAATTTCAGTTTTTTGGAGAATCGATACATGGCAGACGTCGAATTGAAAATAGCCTCTGTTTCCTCCCAGTAAGTCTTTATCAGCGGTAAAAACTCCGGATGACTAGTGACAGCATTTGTAAATTTAAACGGACGCCTGATTCTCTGCTTTTCCACTTCAATTTGAATGCGACACCTAAGGTGATCCGAGCATCCTCCAGATTCAAAATTGCAGTAAGATTGAGGATAAGAGGTGTACCATGAGTCACTCATGAGAACCCGATCAAGCTTTTTGCAGATGAGCCCCTCTTCACGCTTGTTACACCAGATGAAACTCGGGCCATGAGTAGTTATGTCAACTAAAGAGCCATAACGAACCATGTCTTGAAAATCACGCATTCCTTGCGAAGTAGATGGAGAGTTTTGAAATTCTGAGTGCTCCTCCTCCTCTAGAATCTCATTGAAATCACCGAAAATGAGCCACGGTTTATTACGAAAAAGAGGAGAGTCTTGATGGTTCTTTATATCAGTCCAGAGCTCCTTCCTCTCCTCTGCTGTGTTAAGGGCATAAACGAAAGAAAAAAAGAATTCCTCCGTCGCACCCTCAAGTAAGATAGAACACGTGATCATCTGACTGCTTTTAAAACAGGGAGTAACACGAACATGTGGACTCCAAATAACCCAAATTCTGCCGAGTCTACTGAACTCGTAATTAGATAGAAACGACCAATCCTTGAAAACTGAAGAAACAATCCTCATCGCTTTATTTTCCTTCACCCTTGTTTCTAATAAACAACCAAACTTAAACATTCCCTTCCTCAACCAGTTTTTCATAACAGTATGCTTAGTAGTTTTGTTAAAACCACGCACATTCCATGAAAAACTCGACATTAATTAGCTTTTTTGATGGTCTTTTTGTTCAAAGTGCTAGGCTGAACGTCCTTGGCCCTTTGAGACGATTGTTCTGAAAGAAATTTGTGGTTGTTTTTTGAGTTGCGATGAAGAGGCTGTCGAAGAGGAGCTTTCTTTCCCTTTTTTCCTTCCTCCACTTCAATGGTCGATGATTGGTCTGCTGTGCTCAAAGATTCAGCCACTTTTTTAGTTTTCTCCTGCTCTGTTTCAGCATTCGTTTCCTGAACCTCCTCCTCCTCAGGATTCAAACCTGAGACCTTGTTTGTATGTTCTTCCTCAATAGGAGCATCCGCCGGGTCGTCGTTGCTTAAAATTGCATATCTTGAGTTGGATAAAATCGAAACTTGTCCATACTCGAGATCTTTGCTCTGTTTATTTGGACTGCGTCCTACTTTACCAGGGGTGACAACTGACCACTCTCCCTCCTCCTTTTCCTCAACTTGCTTATTCCCAGTACTTTTGTCCTTTGACATCTGTTTTGGTGTCTCTGTAGACGGATCCACCATAGCTACTGCCTTTATAGGAGTCGGATGTTCCTTATCAGATGTTCCCTCTATCGCTACATTTGCTTCTGCCAACGGCTTTGTCAGACACACAGTCGCTAGATGACCCCATTTTTGACAAGTAGAGCATCGAGCTGGTAACCAAGGGTAAGAGAATTCCACAAGAGAGTCCGTACCGTCTGGTGATGAAAAGTTCATCAACGTAAGCAACTCTTTGGTGAGATCTGCTTTGACAAAGATTTTTGCCAATTTAAAATCATTACATTGCGCAGTTTCTGGATGAAGTCGGACTAGCTCACCCACTGCACTAGTAATGAAGCTAAGCCCTTTCCATGAGTACATGTCCATTGGCACATTCCGAAGATGAACCCACAAAGGTACTGATTTTACTTCTGGTAAGGTCTCTTCTGTGAAAGGAGACCACTTTGACAACACCACCGGGACTTCTGCTAAGTTCCACATACCTCTTCGAAGGACACGGTTTCGTATGATAGGATTTGATATCCTAAACTTCATCGTTGTAGCGTTGATCACTTGGATATCAATCATCTGCGATTTATCTCCAAGAGCCCATATTTTGTTTACGATTGCGTGAACTTTAGCTACGTGCGGAGCCGTAGCCAGAAACCGGCCAACCACAAAATCCTCCCATAGCGGCAAGGCATCCTGAAAGACCTCTGCTGGAACCCTTACTGAACTGATACCATTCTCCGTAGAAACTTCCAAATCATACCTCGTTAACGATTTTTTCGACTGCACCGTGTTAGCGTAAGAAAGAACCGGAACAACTGAATCTGAACGTGGAGACTGAGTCTCCTGCATCGGAACGGCCTCCGACTCCCCTATCGGAGGTTGAATCGGCGGCGACGGCGCCCTTGCGTGAGAAGGACGCAACTTTACCCTAATCCCTAAAAAATCGCCTCCAGAGCAAAACGCCGATTTTCTCTCCTCTTTCTCATTGTCTTCTTTGTTTAAATCAAAATACACAAAATTGTGTACGATTTGTAAGGTTGAGACTCATTTGACCTCGATTGCCGTTCCAGCTTCTTGAAAGACCATGAGATAGGATGTTGGTCAAGGTAAACAATACACATACATTTGTGGAAGTGTAGTCATCTCGATTACTTGTCCAACCAATATATAAATTTGCCTAATCAGAAAGAAGTGTAAGTTAGCGGAGAAAAATAAAAAATGAGTGGTAGTGCAGATGAGAAACTGAATAACTTGCTTGACTGCTTTCTCATGCACAGTCGATAGTTTACGTATAAATTGGAAGAATTTGTTCACTGTTTAAGGCAATGTCTAGTCTTTTGTGGACAAAATATTGAAGATTCCCAATAATAGCTCGATCTTAATATTGGATCATACAAAAGCTGAATCATAGAGAAACGTGAGATTTTTGGACATGGAAAGTAGTTGTTTTGGCGTTGGTCGTTTTGGTTTAAGCACGAAGATCAGTGATATATTATCGCTGTGTATGATAAAGACCATTAGGTGTGTGAGTAACCTCAATGTTAAGAGGTTTGACAATTCATCAAGATCCTCCACTAACCAAAATGTCATCAAGTTTTTTTTTTTTTTTTTGTCCTTAAGAGTCAAAAGGTTGATGCATATAGACTTCTTCCTTGAAAATTTTCAGCAAAAAAACATTGTTAACATCAAGTGGACGAAGAGATTAGTTTCCTCGGATGGTTTGATGATGAGGCTGATACATTACATAGAAAGCATAAGATTAATATGCTGGCGGAAGATTGGCCTTACTGAGAAGTGCAAGACCCGTTTTAACAATGTGTCGATGGCAACACTCCACTACATCATTGTGTATGGGCGTATACAGAAGTTGAAAAAACAAGAGCTATATATAGAGACAGATGATGCAACAAAAATTGGCACATGGATTCCTCAAAAACTTTCACTAGATTATCTTTTAAGGTAACTTACAAGTCTACCAAATCAGAGAATTTACACGTATCTCTTAGAAAATCTAGTCTCTCACAAGCTTCTCAAAACCATACAAGTCTTGAAAGCTTCTCTCTTAATTTCCTTACTAGGAACCCAAATTTTTTTTTCTGTCTTAGAAACCCTAAACTCTTTTTGCAGGAGTTTCTAAGACATAACTAGACCTATATTTATTTATAGTGACTAAAACACAGACCTTCTCCTCATTCTACACAAATTAGAAAAAGCCTAAATTCCTTTTCTTTTCTTCTTAATTTGTTGTCTTTTTTTTTCCTTTATTGTCTTCCTTTTCCCTTTGATATATCCTTAGGTTTTTGATTGTAGACTTTGACTCCATCTTGGACTAACTTGTCCAGCTCAGTTGCAAGTCTCCACGCCAGTTTTTCTTTCTACAATAGCATTCCCTTAGTTGTTAAGCTCCACCATCTGTGACTATGTGCTTATGACAAGAACTACTGCAGCTTCAGAGACATCATCTAGTGGGATGTTATATGAAACGCAGAATATTAGATCGCTTCCCGCTGAGGTATAGAACTATAACTCCATTTACGTTGTATCATTCAATTAACTTGAGCGTGAAGAGTTTACGAAAGAATGAATTATTTTTTGTTTTATGAGACTATTATGCGACTATACTTCACCATGCTTGTGAGATACGATTATGATCCGCATGAAGAAACCCCAAAGTTCGAACCTATAGAGAACACATCTCCATAACGTATCATAAGTTCAACTTTTGATGGATGAGTCATACTATATACACTTCTAGATTATTTTCAAGAAACGAGCAAAGTCAATCGTCCAAAAAATGCGAAACCTTACTTAAAAATTATTTTAAAACTTTTTTTGTCAACTATGTAAATATAATAATTTCACAATGTTGGCAGAAAAAAAGAGGAGTAAACGAATTTTGTCGACTATGATATAAAAAAGCATTAATTATAAAAAGATATTAAACTTGATAGTTAATACTAGAGAAGATATTTACAACGTGCATATAAACAAAAAATAATATCTAGCTAGATATATGTACAGTTCACTCTTCTGATATAATTGTGCCCATTTGCAATTTAGACATGGAAGAAAATGGAACACGTCATTTTTCTCAATTAAATTAAATCATTGTATTAAAAAACTCGAAAATAATTGTTATTCGTCGATGCGATACAAAATACGAGGTTTCTTTTTAACACCTTCTTCAACAATGGATTGAAAGATATACGAACTTCTCCTCTTTCCGACAAAAAGACCACCTTCTCTCTCGTTTTTCTTCTGGATGTTTTGTTTTTGCTTTTTTTCTTCATACTCTTTAAAATATTGTTAGAACTATTTTTTATTTTGTAAAAATAAATTTGCTTCCCTATAATAATTCCTAATAAACATCAAACTTCATCTTTTTGTTTTTGTTCTCTGGACAGTGTCTCTCCACGTATTCGTCTCTGGTAAATAATCTCCATCTCAGATTTCTCAAATTTTTGTGTTTTTATTTTTTGTTGCATCTGTTCATCGCTTGCATCGATTTGTATGCAATCTACTCACCAAATGGAAGCGATTTGTAGGTTTCTTTGATTTTCTTGTTTATTCAATTGTGTGAAATTTGGTGAAGAATCTGTTGAGATAATTGTAATTATGTATAATATTTGCGTGGAATCTGGAATACAAGAAAAAACAATGAGGTTCAGTTTAGTTTTTTTTGGGTTTGTTTTGTAATTGAGAAAAAAGGGTTTTTTTTTGCTTCAGGTGATTTGATCAGGTCTTTAAGGCCATTTTGAGACCAGAGAAGATTTGTTGGTACAATGTCTGAACAAGGTATGGTTTTGGGTAAAGAAGGGAACAAAGGAATCAGAAAAAATTCTTCAGTCCAAGGTTATGAATCTGCTTGGTTAGGTCGTTGGACTCAGTTAGGTAATGAAGTGAAGTTTCATGATCAGAGTAATGGTAGTGACTCCAAGGAGTTGATTAGGCCTGAAGTTAATGTAAAAAAGAATCAAGAAGTCGAGGTCGTGCCTTTTCCTATGTTCAAGGTTTCTCAGAAGAGAGACAGTGCTGTTACAAAGCTTCAACCTTATCATGACAATGTGGGTTCAAGCTCGAAAGCTGTGGCTAATAGATTGCCTTGGATGAATGGTCAAGGAGATAATGCTGGATCGAGTTCCAAGAACCGGCTTGATTCCCCAGTTCAAGAGAAGACTACACAGAACCTGCTTGAGTTGATAAGACCTGTGAGGTTTTACGCAACGGTTGATTCGGTTCAAAGAGTTAACTTGCCAGAAGAAGAAGATGGTAGGACCTGCATGAAACTGAAAGGGAAGATTTTTGGTGGGTATCTTGATCTGTTTCCTAATATAGATCACAAACAGAAAGGAGGAGTAAAGCTGCAATCTTTAGAAAGCTCCAAGGATACAGAAGAAGATGAGCGGCCGAGAAGAAACGAATCATCGGCAGAGACTGATATCTTGGGAATAGATAAACTTCATACGATACATCTTTCCGGTATATTGAAAACTTTAAGATGCTTGTTTCATAATCTGTTTGCTCTGGTCTGTTCTCCATACATTTCTGATTCTCATTCTTCTTGGCAGGCTCCATTTCTTCATCATCAACTAAGGTATTGTTCAATCTATACCTCTATCTTCATCTGTGTATTAAAAACCGTGAAATACCTCTGTCTTCATCTGTGTATTCATTTGGTTTTGAATATTTTGCAGGGCAAAGGAAAAAGAGGAAATTCAGCAATTCCCAGGGCTGAAATACCTGACATGAATGAAGAGCCGCCTCTGGTTCTAGAAAGAGAGAATTCAGTAGAAGGGCATCAAGGAGAAACAAGCAACTCGGCTACTCAAAGTATGAACGTGGACAACTTTCTGTCAAGAGAGACCTGCAAACGTGCACGGTTGGAACCAGAACTGGAACCAAGCAGTAGATGGGTCAAGCGTCTCAAGACAAACGCCTCAGATTCCAGTGGGAACGATGAAACCAGGAGTCTGATGAAGATTGAAGCATCATCACATGGCAAGAAAGGGAACAACAGCAACCTGTTCCTCGAAATCTTGAAATCGGGGATTAACAATCTCCAACCAAGAAATCAAGAACCAGCCACTTCACAAATCAAGAATCTGAACCAGGGAGGAGGAGAAGACATTACACTTCTGCATCCATGGATCCAGAGATGGTGCAAGAAGAAAGCTACGTCGACAGATCAAGCACAAGGGCAAGAAGTTAGCTTTGAGCCAGAGAACCAAAAGGAGATTGAGAAGAAGCAGTATCCGAGTATTGCAGCCATGGCACTGATGGGGAAGGCTCTAAGCGGTTTAAACCCGTATGGTCTTAGAAAGACCGAGTCTCTCATGGTCTGGAATGCTCGGGATTTAAGATAGGAATAAAAACTATATCATCATCCTGATCTTCATTGTTACCATTACAGCTTAGAGACGAGAGTACCAGAGCTAGAATTCAGACTTAACTCGGATTCGAATCATGTAAGATTTTGGCAGGTCCTATATCAACTCTACTTAGGGGTCGGTCTCACTATCTTATCAGTTATGTATGAATAACTTATTTGCAACATAAATTTTCTGCTTAGTTGTTACAACAACACTATTCCATTTTGTAATCGACAAAAACAATTTAGTTAACACTAAGCAGGAAACTTATATAACCATCAAATCCTTCTTGGTACTACTATAAAATAAAAAAACAAAGAGTACAATTCAAGCTCTATTCTCGAAAATCTTGACTGAAGGGAAAAGATCAACATCTGAACATCGAGTCAATACATGGGAAATACTTGGGACAAAAGAGATAAAAACAATGGAAGGAAACTTAGTTGTGGGTAGCCCTAGTGTAAATCTGCTGGCTTGAGTGAGTTGAAACCATCCTGATCGTTCCTTTAGCCATCAAATCTCTGATCGCCTTCCTAGCAAGCGACCCATTGATCTGCATAGCACACACATAACAGGTTAAAAACAGTAAACAATGACAGAGACAATACAACAACTGTGCAAAATTACATATGAAACCAGATCATTCAGCCGCAAGCCATATTTTTACAAGAATTGAACTGTAAAGATTGCTATCTTACAAGATTAGACTTTTCAAACCTAAACAGAATCTGTTTTCATGATCACATGAAGTCACAAGTCGGAAGGAGATATCTTACTTAGGATTTACTAGAGTACACAATAACTTACTTGAGCACATTAAAAACTCTCTTCAGTACATTGTGAGAAGATCAAACCTCTAATTCAGTTCTCGGAAGATTTGAAGTTTTAATAAACTGAAGCAAAAAATACTAATAACTATCCAAACCCACCGAATTAGACTTTTCGAAACCTAACAGACCAGAAAGAGCTTAATTTTCAAATCTCAAACCACTAATTTGATTATCTGGAAGATTTGGAGGTTTTAACAAACTGATGCAAAGATACTAATAACTCTATCCAAACCCATCACATTATAATTTTCAGAGTTATAAGCCAAACACACACCATAAAGGGCTTCCTTTTCATTAATAAGGATCCAAACCCATGGAATTAGACTTTTCAAATTTCAAAACCTTACACCACAAAGAGCTTACTTTCAAATCTCAAAATCACTAATTCAATTCTCGGAAGATTTGAAGTTTTAACAGACTGCTGCAAAGATACTAAAAAGACTATCCAAACCCATCAAGTTATACATCTCAAAGTTATAAGCCAAGTGCACACATACACACCATAAAGAGCTTATCAAGAGAAAAGTTGGAAACTTTAACATAGTAGAGATAGTTAGTACCCGAAGACGGTCAGAGAGAATAGAAGGAGTGATCAATTTGAACTTGGGAGCTTCAGACATAAGCTTGTCGTAAGTTGCCTGATCGAAGAGAACCATGTTGTTCACCTTCTCCTTTTGCTTTCCTTTACTCCACTTCTGTTGAATCAAGGACCCAAAGAAAGAAAAAGAAGAGCAACGTAAGCAAAAAAAAAATAGATTTGGGGAGAAACTGAATCGAAGCAATGCACGGATCAAAGTAGTATGTATATAAATATGATTCAAGAAAAGATGAGATTTTGTTGGAAAATGACCTTCTTCTTCTGCTTTCCACCGCCGGATTTGGCGGGTTTAGAGGATGGTGGTGGAACTTTGTCCTTCTTCGGTGCCTGGAATCAACAAGATAAACAATCAGAAGATCATCATCATAATAAGACAGAGAGATAGAGATAGTAAGCACCCACCATTGAAGAAATTGAAGGACGGATAGATGAGATAGATGCAGGAAGAAGAAACAAAAACGAGTAAAAGAAACGCAGAACAATCAGCGGCAATTAGGGTTGTAGAGAAGAAGAAGACCCAAGCATGAATGACAATTTTACCCCTCTTGTTTATTAAGCAATATGTGTGTGAAATGAATCAAACTTTCATATACGGGTTGACCAAACAATTTATTTTCGTATACCACTGTTATAAAAATTTATTTATTTATAAATTAATTTTAAATTGAAAAAGTTTCAATCACCTTTAAAAAATCATAATATTTACTGACCCAATCAGTGATGTGTCAAATATTTACACCTAATTAGTTATACTGGATCCGATTTCGGATCTAAATTTAAATAATCCTAAATTCGAATCTCTATCATTTCTGGGAGTTTTGTTCCATTAGGTACAACTACGAGGGTACTACGAACAAAGAGTCTTCGATTTTCTAAATTGGTCACAATCTTCAAATTCGCATAAGATTAGTTCTTCGTTCTTCATTCTTCTTCGTTTTTGCCGTTTTTACTGTTGCTTATCTTAAGCAGAAGTCTTACAACTAAATCTGTAGTGTCTGATACCTGAATTTAGGAACGAGAAACTTAAATTAGTATTACCTGCAAAATTTGAATTCAGTTCACTTTGATTGATGTGTGGGGTGATAATTAGATGTGTCTTAACTTGGTAGAAATACTGTAATGACATCATTCAGAGGAGATAATGAGTCGCTTCAATTAATGCTGTGGGAGCCATTACGCTTTCGTAATGAGGTTGAGGAGCAAACACGTAATGAGCAAACGCGTAATGATGAGGAAAACCAGCCGCCAATGCAACCGCTGAGTATGTATTTTAGTCCAAATCTGTACAACAATGCAATAAAGTTAGGTACTCGGTGTTGGATCCACAAAGCAATGGAGAATCTGGAATCGGTGTCTCTGGGACTGAGACCCGAGGAGCTAAGATGGTTTAGCGAACATCCTCAATTCAAGCACTTCTGGCATATGCACAATGCCATATATTTGAATACAACCTATAAGACTCAGGGGATGTGAATGCTCCTTCTACGCACAGAAAAGACAAACAAGAGGAGAGAGTGTTGGTTTGTTGTTAATGGAGTTCCAATTCGGTATTCGCTTAAGGAACATGGACTCATATCTGGATTAAACTGCCATGATTATCCAAAGAATTATGAGAAGATGGGCAGTAGTGATTTTAAGGAGAAGTATTTTAAGAAAGGAACTGTCCCTTCACTTGCTGTTGTTAAAGAGAAGCTTGAAAAGATGCGTGGTGGTCCTGATCGCTTAAGAATGTGTGTTTTGTACTTTATAGCAAGCGTGTTAGGTGATAAAGCTAAGACTGAGAAGGGAGCTCCCTCGGTAGACCCTTTTTTCTTGAGGATTGTAGAAGATCTCGATGTGTGTAGAATATTTCCTTGGGGGAGGTATTCATTTGATGCGAATCTAAAGGAAAGTGAACATACATTGAGGCACTTCAATGGGGTCATCGAAACTGATTCTTGGACATTTCCTGGCTTTGTTACTCCCTTGGAGTTGCTACCTTTTGAAGCAATACTTTGTCTGAAGGACATATACAAAGAAGACGCTAAAGGAGCAGACATAGGGTGTCTGCGGATAAGTAAGACAAAGTTCAGACCATTCACTCTCAAAAGATTTCCTATGTCGGACCTCTACGAAACACTCGGTAATACCAAAGATATCCAGAGTATCTTGGAACCATCTGCTGATAAGGAAGATATGTTAGCTGGTATCATAGAAAGGTATGAAGACCCAGATAACAGTGATACAATTCATGATACTTGGACGAGTCGTATAATTGATGATGGGAAGCCGATATTCTGGAAGGATATGAGCTTGGACGATGAAAAAAACCGAGTTGAACCAGCGAAGAATGCCTCTTCTAAATCTCCAGCGCCGAGTGGGATTGTTGACCAGATTCAAGAGTTGAAGAAGAGTATGGATGAGCAGTTCCTCCAAATGAGAGACGTCATTAATGGCATGGATATTAGATTGAAGTCCATTGAATCTTATGTGAAAGAGGCAATTGCAAGTGAAGGTCTTGGAGAAGAGAAGGAAGGAGAAGAACAAGGTGATGAAGGAGAAGAAGGAGAAGAAGGAGCAGAAGGAGAAAAAGGAGAAGAAGAGAATGAAGAAAGAGTTGAAGAGAATGAAGAAGTGGGAGGTGAGGTGGCAAAGAAGGAAAAGAAGAAGACAAAGACGAAGGCAGCGGTTGTCAGAACGTATTTGACCAGACGACGAACTAGAATTCAGGTATTATTTGGTACTAATAGGTATTATTTGGTACTAATAGGTAGAACTATAGTATAAACCACATATCTTTGTTACCATGTAGGAACAACCTGGTGCTTCAGTCGAGGAATGAGAGGTGCAGCATGAGAAGAAAAAAAAGAAGAGTAGGAATTAACTGTCCCAGATGTTCCCTCTATCATGCTGTCGATTTGAATTTATGGTTTTCTTAAGAACTAAATTGTGGGATCGTGTTGTTTGCGGATTTAAATTTATTTTGAGAATATTGGTTTGGTTACTGTTATAAGAATCGGTTTATATTTAATTAGAGAATTTCGGTTTGGTATTAGTCGGTTTAAAATATTGTTGCTCTTTGGTTGTCGGGTAACTGTCTTGTCGTTATTAAATTATGAAACGACGCGTGTGAGAATAGAGAAAAGCAGCATTTGTATAGTGAGACGACGCAATTAATGCATACCACCGCTTCACTTCTTCTTCTATAAATACCACACCCTCGCCTTCTCATAACACCTTCGCAGTGAAAGAAACATTTCCTAAACTTCCAAAAAACTCTTATCTTTCCCTTTGCTAATTCAAAACCCTAATTTCCCCAAATGGCCTACTTTCCTCACAACATTCCTCCGGCGTCATCAACACGTCCCGAGTACTGGATGCGCCGATACCTGCTTGACCTCCAACGAAACCCGTCGCCGATATACTCCGCCCAGGTGGAGGCGGAAGACGTGTACGTGTGGGCGGCGACCATCACTGGTCCGCCGGGAACTCCCTACGAAGGGGATGTCTTCAACCTCCGCATCATCTTCCCGCCACAGTTCCCCTGGAAGCCACCGAAGGTGCACTTCCGGACCCCCATCTTCCACCCCAATGTGAGCGACCATGGCAACATCTTCCATCCGATGCTCATGCCTAATACGTGGTGCATCACGACATCTGTGGCCCAGATGCTGATGAGTCTGGCCCAGATGCTATTGCATCCGTTGGTGGTGGAAGGCGACGTCGTGAGGGAGAAGGTGGCGGTGATGTATCAGGAAGACAGGGCACGGTACAAAGAACTTGCTCGTAGCTTCACCAGGATCCACGCCATGGATGGTTAACATAACATCCATGGCGGAAAAAACTCTAAGTAATATGTATTTGTGTTTTTTATGTTTTTTTTTTAATTTTCGTTGAACTTATTATTATGTTTTCTTTATGTTTATATTATGTTTTTATTTGGCTATTATTATGTATTTTTTTTTGTGATTAATGGAAAATTTTCACAAACTTTTGGGTCTTGTAACGTTGATGTATTAATAACCTACATGCAACCCTAACATCTGATAAGACTTGGTAGTTGTACCAGTTTTACATCGAGAATCGACGCATTTATTTTTTATTTATCCCATATCCGCACTCATTTATAGCCCCATTTATACTGGTTACGCGTGAAGATGTCATCAAGCAGACGCCTTGTTTTTCATTCATAATGGATAAGCGTAAATTACGGGAATTTATTATCTTATTTAAAGTAATTATTCTTAAATATTATATTTTTAAAACTGAGGTTAAACCAAAAATTACAAACGAAGATATCTAAAATTCTAAAATCAAAAACTGAAAACCAAAAACCAAAAGTGAAAAACAGAATCCAAAAACCTCCATCGTCTTTGCATCCTCCATAGCCTAATTTTGTTCAAGCAAGAAAAAACAAGATTACAAATATAAGCATGGGCAATCAACGCCTTATACTTGTAATCTTGTTTTTCTTGCCTGAACAATGAAGACGTCTCAGATTTCCGTTCACCTTAACCTTGTATTTCCCAGTCTGCAACATCAGGTGACCAAACTCGCTGACTAAACTCTGATTCGCTGATCTGACTCTTCATCAAGTGAAATACCCATCCTTCTTTCTTTTATGGTGTATGTACGATGGGTATTTCATCTGATGAAGAGTCTGAGATCAGCGAGTAAGAGATTGATGATTATTTTAGGGTTTATGTGTTTTCGAAGGACGACATTTTTCTAGGGTAAGATCAGGTATATATATATAGTCAAGGAGAGGATGAGTAAAGGAAGCACTTAGATTCAATGAATAAATTGTTTTTTTGAGGAGTCGTGTTTCAATGAATTTTATTAATTTTCAATAGATTAATGATAATAACCAACGCCTCAATTTTCTTTAATACCCCCACTACTCATTTTATTTCTTTCATTTTATTTAATTCATTGTAACATCTCTTTATTCTCGACTCGTCGAAAACCCTAATTTTCAATAACTGTCTGTTCATAAAATGAACTATCTCAAAATGGCACGGCCGCATTTTCTTAAAATATATTTTTGTTTTCTTATTTTCTTATTTTGTATTTTTGTTTTTTTTTTTTAAATTTTGATATTTTCACTTAATTTGTATTTGCAATGATTATCTCTGTTATTCACGTTTCCAACAATAATTATTATTTAGAATTGAATTTTTTTATTTATTTTTAATACATTAATCATTATAATTGTAACGCGTACAGGCGTCACCAATCACTGCCCACTTATCCTTAAATACACTAGTCTCCTTCTCATTTCATCACCCCAACCTTTCATTTCCTTTTAGAAAGAAACACTTACCTTGTTGATAAAATCGTAGACGAGAGGATGACGAACTGTGGAGCATGAGTTGAAATCCATATATCAGTCTCCACAGTTTCTCACCCTCTTCGCTCTACGACTTTGTTCCGCCTCACTTATCCTTTTCGATATGAAATCTTAAGATCGTACAAAAAGTGGTTGATGAGAAGATGAGCAACTTAGGAGCCTGAGCGAAGAGTTTGGAGAAAAAATCCAAACACCAGCCTCCTGAGTTGTTCATCTTTTTCATCCACCACTTCCTGCACCATCTTAGTAAGGATCCACTCATATCGCCTTGTAATTCAGGTAAGTATTACAGATAAAATTCTTTAATATGTGAAATAACCGTACAATAGGAAGAAACCCTAAATAATAGAATGTCGTATAATTGGTTTAAATGGGTTTAATTCGTGCAGTGCAAATTTAAAAAATTATAAGTTCTGGTATAAATTGGTATAATTAGCCCCAACTACGTTTAACTTTGGGAAAATTTAAATCTCTGGTGGAAATTGGTATAATTTGGCCCAACTACATGTAAATTTGGGAACCCTAAAAATCTAATATTAATTGGTATAATTCGGCCCAACTACGTGTAACTTTGGAAACCCCTAAATCTGGTACTAATTGGTATAATTCGGCCCAACTACGTGCAAATTCTTGAAATTATAATAGCTTGTACAATTTGGTATAATATAACCCAACTAAGAGTACTTTGTGAAACCATAACTCGGTAAAATTAAATTATCAGAAATTATGGATAAGATAAGTACTTAGATTAAAAATGAAAGTCTGGGAATGAAACAATGATTCATTAAACAACCGGATTCTTAAAGAACTGTATTAGTTATACACATTAAACCCTAAACTCGCCAATACACCCTTCAGCTTTGCAATCTCTTCAGCGTTGTTATTCAGCTCCATGCGCATTTGCTTGATTTGAAATTCATGGTTTGACATTTTCGCAATCCTTGAGCGCAGGTCCTTAATCTCACCTTTTAGCCTAGAAATTTCATCATCGACAGCGTGATCCCATTTCACCCTAAAGTGGTAGTCGTCGTTCTACACAACAATTCATAAACTTAAACCTTATACACTCAACCCATGAAATTTAAATCAATCGCAACCCATAAAATTAGAGTAATTCAAATCTTATACACTCAACCCAGGAATTTTAAATCAATCGCAACTAGGAAAATTAGAGTAATCTAAACCTTATACACTCAACACAGGAATTTTAAACCAATCGCAACCAGGAAAATTAGAGTAATTCAAACCTTATACACTCAAACCAGGAATTTTAAATCAATCTCAATCCAGAAATTAAAGTAATTCAAACCTTATACACTTTGCAGATGTAGTATCTCTTTCCTGCATCTTCAGAAATCTCCTGGATGATTCCTCCACCACATGGACAAACTGTCAGAATCCCAAACTCTGCATTGGCTACGTGGTAAAGGCGGTCGATTAGCTTCTTGTTTCTCTTCTCGTCGCTGTAGCTCGGATCCATAGTCGCTATAGCTAAGGAAATTCACAAATTTGAAGAGAGAGAGAGATAGAGAGGAATGTCCCAAGAGAGAGAGAGAGAGAGAGAGAGAGAGTAGAAATATGTAAAATGAAATTCAAAATGGGGGGGGGAAGTTCGAATTTTGCTGAATTTGGGTGTTGGGGGGAAATTCAAATTTGAATTATATTACAACTAACAAATATTAATATTATTTAAGTATAACACACAGAAAATGGGGCCGTTTCACGTAGGGGAATTCGCTCACGTGCTGCCGCCAATAGCTAATATCCAATAACGTGTGGACACATGGCACTTCTTCATATGAGGTTTGATACGTTTTTGTACGTAGTATGACAGTTATACAAACTCTCAAGTAGTTGTACATTTCTGATTTTAACCAAAAAACTAGTAATACTTATATTAAATATGTAATTATGTAGTTGACCTTTTCACAAGTACTAGTTAATTTGTTGCCCCATCATTTTCATGTAATCAGATTTCGTTTTTGCTTTTTTACGTTCTGTTCGATGCCTTATGTGGTTACTCATCGTGAACTCTTCATATAACTATGATGTGTATTATGAGAAAACTTGTTTCAAAGTTCAAAGATTTATAAATTGCATATTTCGGCTAGTTTAAATGTTAATCATAACATAACTATGCATACAATCTACGAGAATGTAATTGATTTCATATAATTTGGTGTATATGAAATCGATTTCATGGTTATTGTAATTTAAAATTGGTTTACCGAACCGATAAATACCGATACCTAGAACCAAAACAGAATGTATTCATATATTTTAATAATATATTAACTGAGAATGTCTGGAAAAAGTCATGTCTGATAAAGGTATTGCCATCTACTCCACTTACTCTGTCTGGTCCACAATCCTTTATCTGATAAAGTAAAAAGTAACTGATTGTAACTGATACGTGTCTATTTCTCACGAAAGCTCATTTTCCGATGAAATGAAACAGAACATGCTCCCTCGTTTCCCATAAATGTTAGAAAACATTGGACACATAGAGTTTTCTTTATTTTTAGCACGAGAACAAGCAAACCCATAACCCATAGCTGAAAATAGTTGAACATAGTTGTACCGTTTTTTTTTTTTTTTATCCATTTCAAATTTGTAATAGTTTCCCTGCATGTCGATTCCGACACTACTACAAGTGCTGTGAGCTCTGCTTCCTCTACTGGCATTACCAATGTGCGAAGAATTTACTACTCCGTAATCTGCTTGTACTCTACTTTTTATATTATGAACTTATTTTCTATTGTTGTTGTTTTTGCTTTTAGTCCTCTGTCTGGCCCACTACCCTTATTCTGATAAAATAAAAAGTAACTGATTTTAAATGATACGTATTCTGATTTTAAAAAGTATCTGATTGGCACATTTTCCGATGAAATGAAACAGAACGTTCTCACTCGTTTTCCATAATTGTTAGAAAACATTGACACAGAGTTTTCTTCAATTTTAAACACGAGAGAACAAGCAAACCCTAAACCCAGAGCTGAAAATAGTTGAACATAGTTGTACCAAGTTACTCATACTATTACAAATTAAAATTATTAACTGTCCTGAGTACTACCTCCACTCTGAGTATTACCCTCGGGATTACTGGCATTTTAATTTCGATCCCATCCTCCATTACCCTGAGTATAACTCTGTGCATTCCCCTTAGAATTACTGGCAGTGAAATAAGGCTACCAGATAGAATTACTGGAAGTGAAATAAGACTACCAGCCTCTACCACGAGTATAACCCTGCACATTCCCCTCAGGATTACTGGCAGTGAAATAAGGCCACCAGCCTCTACCATGAGTATAACCCTACGCATTTTCCTCAGGATTACCACGAGTATAAGGCCACTAGCCTTCATTTCCCTGAGTATTACCATGCGCATTCACCTCAGGATTACTGGCATCCCAGCCTTCATTCCCCTGAGTATGTCCATGCGCATTCCCGACTCCATCCTGAGTATTACCCTGCCTTTTCTTACGCTTATTAATTGGTCTTGGCCCACACTCTCTAACCGATGAAAATCTTCTCTGTTGCCTTCTTTCAGGTTTTTTTGGGACCTCAGGTGGTTTTGGGGCAATCTTCTTTTTGATATCATCTGGAATTACCCATTGTGAACAATGAGGAACAGGGTATACCGCCCTGGTATATGCAAGTGTCCACACAGCACTAGTATAATACTTCGAGCACAAATCATGCGAGTGGATGTCCTCACTTCTATCTTCCTTGGCCATAGAAATCCTCACTGCGGCAAGTGCATGGACGTAACGATATCTGTCTATATCAAAACGTCTGCATGAACAAAACTTGGTTCTCAAGTTCACCAGATAAGTGTTCCCATCTCCACCGATCACAGCGTATTCAAGCAGAAACGAGTTCAGCTCAGTCACATTTAGGGACTGAGCAATTCCAACACTCACGTGTAAGACATTTTCGACATAGGGAACAAGTTTATGTGCTTCAGGTGCTGTAGCAGCCTCCTTCCTATTTTTGTTTTACCACTCAGATACCTTTGCCAAGATAGCATCCATCATAGGTAATATAGCATACTTCCTCGCATCCTTAAAAATGCTGTTCATAGACTCTACACAGTTACTAGTGTCGATGTTGTACCTTTCTCCCGGAAAATAGCACCTTGCCCATTTTTCCTCATGCAAACTACTACTTAAATACGTAATTGCATCCGAATACCTTTCTCCCAGTTGACCATAAGCCTCAAGAAACTCAGCCTCTGTATATACTTCCTCGCAACTTCCATGAACTTGGCTACAACTAAATCTTTTCTCTTTGAACACTCACTTTCACATTCTGGGCCAAATGATGAATGCAAAAACCGTGTTTAGCTTGCGGGTACTCCTTTATTGCATTGATCAGGCGTACATTCTTGTCTGAAACAAACACCAATTCAGAACTGTCAGGTATACGGGTTTTAAGGTTAGTAAAGAACCAGTTCCAACTATCATTCTTCTCCCCATCAACTATCCCAAAAGAAAGGGGACAATGGTGATGATTCGCATCCTGAGCTGTTGTAAATACAAGGCATCCACCAAATCCATTCTTCAAAAAATTTGCATCAACAATTATCACTTTTCTCATTGCTGCAAACCCTTCAATGGTAGGACCCAGAGCGACAAATAGGTACTTGAATCTTCCTAATTCATCCACTTCAACACTTGATGTCGTACCAGGATTAGACTGCTCTAGCATGTACAAATACGAATGCAGATGCTCGAAACTCTCTTCTGGAGTACCACGACCAAAACTTATAGTTTTCTGTCTGCCTCTCCATGCCGTAGAGTATGATACCTCCAGACAACCTCTAGTTTGAACCAAAGCCATGATATCTCTAGGAGTTGGTGGTTTTAATTGACAAGGGTAAGTTTTACTAACAACTACTGCAACTAACCCAGGTGTGCCTTTCCTTCGTTTGCTGCTAGTACACGCAGAAGCCCGAGAGCAAGAATGCATTTTCCTATATACTCTAACCGTGAAAATATATGAGTTAGCTGTCTTAGCGGCTTTTATATACCAGTTACACCCAGTTTCAGCTTGACCGCATTTCACATAGTATCGAATCTTATCAGACTTGTGTACAGTGATGCCAAAACAATGTTTATGAGAACCTTTGTAAACTAAATCTATTAGATCCTGCTTACAGCTAAACTCTGCACCAACTCTCAGATTCAAACCATCCTCCCATTCACGTTGAATACGTTGTTCTTATACACCGTCTCGAGGATCAACAATATCAAGCATTCGATGTTTTTGACTTATGTCATCTTGATCTCCACCGTTTTCCTCATTTTCACGAGATAGATTAACAATTTCGTTATTCTCCATCACCGACACATGTTGTTGTTATGTTGAACCGTTTCCTGTGTAAATAACAATAGCACCATCATTAAACTCAGCATTGCGGTCGACAAATACGCCATCAGTCGCTATATCATTAGCTGCATTCACCTCCCTGACATTCACAACAACAGTACTTACCCTCTCTACACGTGAAATTTGCTCAGCCACGACAGACACTCCATCTACATTGATGACCTCTACATTCAAGACACTTCTGCGTCCCTCATTATCAAACAACGTCAGATAGATACCGAGATCATCGTCATCCAAAATAGACCAATGTGTCTTTGTTTGCACTATTACCGGAATATAATTCAACTTTGTGGATAATTCTCCGATCCCGACCTTCTTGCATATCCTACCCACTAAATCGGTATAGCTTATCTCCTATAAGCTTGATGTCTTAAACATTATACCGTACATGGAACCTTCTCTTGAAATCCATTTATCATTGGTACTTGAATAATGTCCTCCATAATAAACATTACGTTTGTTATCATTGTGTTCTGAAAAAAAAATATTTATACACTGCATATCAACTTAACTCATTAATACCAAATGTTCCGAGTTATACGAAAACTCATACTGTAATCAAATTGTTCTAGTTATCCTGAATCGGCGAATTTGGTGTACAAACTAAATCTCATTACGATTAAACCTCACCAGTCAACTAAAAGAGCATATGCGACCCAATATGAATAAAAAATTTAACTCTCCCCATTTTGAAATGACCTATTTTGTAAATCGAAATTATATCCCCAACCCAATTGTTCCTGGAAAAAATCGAATCAATCAGCGACTTCACAAGAAAATGCAGAGGCCAGGGAAGAAGAAAAAAATTACCTCGTCCTTCAGCGTTGGAATGGAAGAGTAAAAGCCCCGTCGAATTTCCCGAATTAAAGCGGAGGAGATGTTGCATGCAAACCCAGTTTTCTGATTTCACCAAACCCAAGAAAGTTGAAAAAGAGCAGAACCGACCTGATATCTGATTGGCTGAAAATTTTATCCGAAATGTTTTAAATAGCTGAAACCTCCCTATTTCCTATTGGTCGACATTTCCCTCCAACACTTTTGATTGGTTGAAACCTCCAACACTTTTGATTGGTTGAAATTATCAAGAATCCCAAGATGGGGACTGTGCTTCTTGTTGGGCTGTATTTGTATTTGCACCATTTGTTGCCTTTTGGGCTTTTCCATTAATAGAATTGTCTACAAAAAAGGGTAATATGAGGATAACAAGTTTCATTAAAAGAGAGGGGACCAGTAGGCTCAAAATGTTTTAATTGGCTGAAATCCCCTTCTTTCCTATTGGTCGACAATTCCCACAAAGACTTCTGATTGGCTGAGCATTCTTAATTTCATTGGTCGATTATTCATTTTCTAATTCACAATTAAGGGTAATATGGGGATAACACATTTCATTAAAAGAAAAGGGGACCATTGATGGTATGAGAACATAACTTTGGCAGGATAGAATAAATCATCACTACTTACTGGTAGACGAGAATTTCTCCCGTGTGAAATATTTTGAACCGTGGTCCGTGGTCATGGACTAGAAGAATATCACTCAAGAGTCGACCAGGTTATAGAGGAATTGTTTTTGACATCTATTGATCTATACATAATCGTGTTAAAATTACATTTATCTTTTATAACAATATATAGTACAACAACAATGATGTAGGAACACTTGTGAGATGTTTTTACACTGAGTGTGGATGGGGGTGAATCTCTAGCTGGCCGTACGGATCTCTCTAGTAGATTTGGTGAAGATGGATGATGGGTTGAAAACACAAGGTAACTATGGAGTGAAGGACGTCACACAGAGGATGGAGAACTCTGTGATAAGTCGGGGTTTCTCAGCTTCAAAGGAATCGCACCAGAGAAGAAGAGAGAGCTAGATGTGGCTAGGTTTTGTTCTCTAAAGAAAACTCGGTTAGTTTATTAATCGAAGGTCAAATGTTACAAGCTGAGAAGAAACCTTATATAATGGTTTGACAGCTGGTGGTTTCTCTTGGCCGAAAATGTTACAAAAAAGAAAGTGTTGGAATAAGTTTGAAAGAAGCTTGAAGTGCAAGTTTCTAGATTCTTCTTATGTTTTCCTAAAAGAGTTAGGATTAGAAAAAAAAGAAAATTAGGAGTTATCTAATTCCATTAGGTTTAGGAGTTGCTAAACTTATATATAAGGAGATACCAGAGTTGTGGTATAACTTATGAGTTTGAGACTTTAGGTTTTGTGAGAGTTTCCTAAAGAAATAAAAGAAGAGCTTTTGTTTATCTTTGATCTCAAGCAAGTTAAACAATAATTGGTGTCAGAGCTTCAAGTGTTCGATCCAGGCTACATAATCGACCATGAAGATTATACACTACGAAGCCATGGGAGACATCGTCCCAAGCACCTGACCGAAGGAACTAAGCACGTCATCCATTCAATGCCCAATGCTTAACTCCACCAACTACATGGTATGGGCTATAAGAATGAGGGTTTTGCTCAAGGTACACAAGGTATGGGATATAGTGGAGACAGAGGCAGACGAATCCGAGAAAAACAATGTAGCCACTGTATTTATCTTTCAGTCGATACCTGAAACCCTAATTCTCTAACTCGGTGAGTTAAAAACGGCAAAGAAGGTGTGGGATTCAATCCAAAAACGATACATAGGAGCCGAAAGAGTCCGAGAGGCAAGACTACAAACGTTAATGGCAGAATTCGATCGGTTGAAATGAAAGACACCGAAACAATATACGACTTCAACAGCAAGTTATCTGAGATTTGTTCTAAATCAGCAGCCCTAGGAACAAGCATCGATGAGTCCAAGGTCGTGAAGAAATTCCTTAAAAGCCTTCCTCGCAAACGCTACATATATATAGTTGCCTCTTTAGAGCAGGTATTGGACCTTAACACCACCACATTCTAAGATATCGTAGGGAGACTGAAAGCTTATGAAGAACGTATCTCCGAAGAAGAAGCAGAGGTTCAAGAAGAGCAAGGCAAACTGATGTCTGCCAACACGGAATCTCAAACAGTTCGTGATTCCAACAGTGACTACAGAGGTAGAGGTAGAGGTCAAGGAGGACGATACTACAGCAGAGGACGAGGTCGAGGAAGATCGAATGAAAGCAGAGATTTATCAAACGTAGTTTGCTATCGATGTGATCAGAAGGGGCATTATGCATCTAGTTGCCCTGATAGATTGCTCAAGCTTCAAGAAACACATGAAACCGAAAGTAATGACACCGAAGAGGCTGAGAAACTGATAATGCGTGAAGTAGTCTACCTCAACGAAAGAAGCTTCAAGCCTAGCGAGTTCGAAACAAAAACGGGAGATACAAACATTTGGTACTTAGACAACGGAGCTAGCAACCACATGACAGGGAATCAGAACTTCTTCTCCAAAATCGATGAAGGGGTTACAGGAAAAGTGAGGTTCGGAGACAACTCTCACTTAGACATAAAGGGGAAGGGTTCGATACTGTTTATAACCAAATATGGTGAAAGAAAGGTACTAGCCGATGTCTACTTTATACCAGACTTATGGAGCAACATCATAAGTCTAGGGCAAGTCACAGAGGCAGGTTGCGACGTCAGGATGAGAAGGGATTATCTTACACTACATGATAAAGATGGAAGACTACTTGTTCAAGCCAACAGATCAAAGAATCATCTATACAAAGTGTGCATGGAGGTTGAGGATACGCAATGCTTACAAGTAATGGGACTAAATGATTCAGCAAAGTGGCACGCAAGATTAGGTCACATTGGCTTAGATCATTGAAAACAATGATAAAGAAGAAGTTGGTCACAGGAATTCCCAATATTTCTATCGACAAAGAGACATGTGCTTCGTGTATGCTTGGAAAACAAACTAGGAAAGTGTTTCCTCAAGCTTCATTGTACAGAGCATCCCATGTACTTGAGCTGATCCATGGAGATCTTTGCGGGCCTATCACGCCACCTACAACCTCAAATAACAGATACATATTTGTATTGATCGATGATCATTCAAGATACATGCGGTCACTCCTTTTAAGAGAGAAAATTGAAGCGTTTGAGAAGTTTAAGAAGTTCAAATCGATAGTCGAACAAGAAACAGGGGCAGTGATCAAAACCTTTCAGACAGATAGAGGCGGCGAGTTTATGTCCCAAGAGTTTTTAGATTTCTGTGCAGAAGCAGGAATACAAAGACACTTAACTGCTCCTTATTCACTCCAACAAAACGGAGTAGTAGAAAGACGAAACAGAACCCTAATGGAGATGACTAGAAGCATTATGAAGCTCATGAGTGTTCCAAATTACCTCTGGGGAGAAGCAGTGAGACATGCTACTTATCTCATCAACAGACTAGCCACAAGGTCGCTAAATGCACAAACCCCTTATGAAGCGTTTAAGAAGAGGAAACCAAGCATTGAGCATCTGCGCATATTTGGCTGTATTGGACACACCCGAATAGAGATTCAGCATCTAAAGAAATTGGATGATAGATCAAGGATACTTGTGCACTTAGGGACTGAGCCGGGATCAAAAGCTTATCGCCTAGTAGATCCAAGAACAAGAAAGATAGTTGTCAGCAGAGATGTAATTTTTGATGAAAAGAAAAGATGGAAGTGGAACC